TTTCGAGGTCTTGGTATTCGAGGCCTTGGATTTCGAAACCTTAGTATTCGAAGCTTTGGATCTCGAGGCCTTGGTATTCAAGACCTTTGTATTCGAGGCTTTAGATTTCGAGGTCTTGGTATTCGAGGCCTTGAATTTCGAAACCTAGGTATTCGAGGCTTTGGATCTCGAGGCCTTGGTATTCAAGAACTTTGTATTCGGGACTTTAGATTTCGAGGTCTTGGTATTCGAGGCCTTGAATTTCGAAACCTTGGTATTCGAGGCCTTGGTATTCTACTTACACGGGTGTCAGTTCACAGGTATCAATCGGTTAAATGACCAAGGTAAAGTTTCATGTGCAAATCCTTTTCAATAAGTAATCGCAGTGGTCGATCGCCACGGTTGACTAAGCATTGTCTCTACTACTTGCGTGTCTAGTCTGAACGTTCCGTCTGATTCTACTTCAGATTTCCACGAGAGCGCTAGCAGGAAGATACCGCATTCAGGCATTCTACTAAAACTTTTTGGACAACAAATTACTTCTACCAAACAACTTTTTTCATAATTAGCTATAGGCACTGCCAAAGCGAACTAAAACTGATTTTGATAAATTAAGCAAACAATCAGACACATACGCATCGAATTACAGATCACGTTTAATTACATGTAAACGTTAAATACGCGCGGTCGAATATCCGACAAGAAAATGAATCAATTTCAATTAGAGGGTGACTCGAATGTTGTATCGCGATTTCATTGCTCGTGTCGAATCGATCTCAGTGGGCCAGCGTAAAAAAACAGGGCGAACCAGCAAGCGACACGACTAACAGCAAGGTTCTCGACGGACGAGGAGGAAGGAACCACACAAGAGCAGCTAATTGCAAGATCTATACACCGGCTCCGTTATCCGTACAACCGACCTACGTTGTCTTCCGGCGTTGAATACCTTTACAAACCACTCTCGGATATAGATTGTGTTAGGCATGAATTAAGCCAAATAGCCCGGACAGTTGATTGTTGTAGAGCCAAACGACTCCTACGGTAGAAATTGCCCTGCTCGTTCCTTCAATTGTTTTATTAGCTGGGTATTGAAAATGGCAAGCAGAAGTTGTAAGTAGAACATCGCTGAACAATGTACGTCACAAATATTAAGGTCACGATCACCGACGATAGGATAATTGGCGACTGCAAATATATATTTTAAAAAATGTTTTCCGAGCCGTAACATACTTCCACCGGTGCCATTATCGAAAAAGAATTGTTAACTTCAATTACAGATTTATGCCGTAAACTCATAAATGTCTATCTATTCACCGATAACGCGAACAACGTGTTAGCCGCAGCGTTGATAAACTCGTCCACTTCGACATTTGCTGGAAACGAAAACGTCGCACTGAAATATTACTTGTAGTTCGTTGAAGGCTGGCTGATATTTGCGCACGAAAGCAATCGAGAAAAGACAACTTCACACAAATATAAGATATTAGAATTCCCAGAGAAACTACAAACCGATTCTGGATATGCCAGTGCTTCTTATATTTTTAAAACATACAAACCAGTGACATTAGGACCTTTCAACGAGAAAGTACGTTCGTAAGGTCCTAGCTACGTTTTCCACCGCCAAATAGCTTCTGCTGCCTGGTAGCGTCGTTGCAGAGAAATTTTCTGCGATCGCGAAATACCTTCCGGGAGACGTTATCAGATCCACGACACGAATCGTGACCCTATTTTCAGTTGTGGTTGTTCCACCTACACGCTGCGTTCCGCATTCGTTGCACCAAGACAAATGATCCATACGCGTCGGTCATTTCGTCCGCATCCGCCTGGCAATCGCACGATCTACAAGCTGTACGGTGCAGAGTGTACAGTGGGTGGTCAGTGAATCGCTCGTTTGGCAAACTCCGGGGACAAACAACGTGAAATTCGCGCCTCCCTCCAACTCCCGCCTCCCTTCCTTTGCCCTTCTACACCCGTAGTCAAGATTTAACGGGTCTCTGACCACACACTTCGGTTGCGCAACGCTCTGCGATCCATCTGATAAATGATTCTCGGGGAAACTGTTGGCGTTGCACTACTTAAGGTGATTGCGGTTCCAGGTTCGCGCGAGGATGTATTTGGACCTCTGGGGAATCGATCAACTCGGCTGAAAAATGTACGAGGAACCCTTTCGAGAATCCGATGCACGACTGACACTTTGCTCTGGATTGTTTCGTCGCAGACTGGATGCAAGTGTCCCTTGTCTAGTATGTTTCTACTTTCGCGACATATGCTACCAGCCGAAGATTATCAAGACCCAGTGCGATGATACGGACCTGACATCCTATGCTTTCGAGCAATGCAGACTGCACGATATTTATGTCTTTATACTGCCACTTATCTGGAAACGGTAGATGGTGAAATTGATGTTGCTCCTGCTGCTAATTATAGTCGTTATTGCTACTCGGTTGAGTCTACAGGAAGTTTTGAATGCTTGGGAACATCTCCTCGCACTGGCACAGTATGCAATTACTTTGTTCACGGTCTGTAATTAAGTCAACTCGATTCCAACTCGTCAAGCCCAATTTTCTAATAGATGCAGAGATTCATTGAGATGTCTTCAAGCTCACGTTCGAAACTTCCACTTAGACATAAAAACTACTACAAGCGAGGAACAAGACGAGGGAACAAATTCATTTGATTGCAATTAAATGCGAAACCTATCGTTGAAGTAGGTAAGGTATCGCACACGACATGCATCGTTGATACGCGTGCCAATTAATCAGCGAGCTGTCGGAATCGAACACGAAACCTTATCCTACTTTCCACGGTTCCTCGTTCAATTTCAGTTCGTCCTCTCGCGAAAGGCAGCTGCCTCCGAGACAGTTCCGAGCACCTGTCCAATCGTAGCGATCGGATCGCGCTCGCTCGAATTCGAGAATAGCAAAAATGACGGGAACGTAGATTCGAGCGATCCCCATTATGCGTAATTGGAAGGGATTAACGAGTCACGACTCCATTTATCAGGCCCCGTAATTACAAAGCATCTTCCTTCTCGCGCCATCCCGCTCCTCTTCGCCCTTCCGCGTTCGTCGCGTCACTTTACGCTCG